ACATATTTTAAAGATGAACAGAAATTTTGTGCGCGCTCCGATGATAGCGGACGGACCTCGATGGTCAAGACGTAAAAAGGCAGAAGGTTCTGGGGGCACGGTCAGAGTGCCTACTCCTCCTGCCCCTCCGTCCGGCTCAGCCGGAGCGGAACAAGAGGGCCGCCGTGATGCGCAAGATGAGCAATCGAGTCCGACGCAAGTGCCGTCGGACGAAGGAACATTACACATTCACGATGATGGGGCAAAACATGTTCCCAAAAGCCGAGCTCGGCCGCCGCTGGGGGCCTCAGGCCACCCGGAAGTACAAGAAATGGACGTGGGATCGGAGGACTCTTGTACAAAGTTCCCGCACGAGAATGATCCTCAATTTCTGGAGTCAATGGGCGACGAAACTTTTCCGCATGGACCAGCGTCTACGAATATGTTCCGAAGATCGTGTCTTCCGCCTACCCCTGATAAAAGACAGGGACAGCCGAAGTACAGGGGCCCTTGCGATGGGGACCGAGAAGTAACGGTGGTGCATGCTGCTGTATTTAAAGAGAAACGATTGTATGTGACAACAGATGAACGCCATCGCATACTTCAGGCTACGCCTGGACCTCTAAAACAGATGCTCCAGGACGCCCATATCACGGGCCCTGTACCACCGGGCATCGAAGCCATCCGTAAGCAAACGGGAATTTCGCTTCGGTACATGGCAGAATTTGTGGAAGATCCCATCTTTGCAATATTGGCAGGTCTTAATCAGGATGACGGGTCTTTCGCACATGCAAAGGATATATGAGAGCCGAGTTTCATTCCGATGACTGTCCGGGCGGGTTTTCTCCGGGCGCCTATGCGTGCCTGCGGCCATTTATAGTTGGAGAAGATGACGATGGAAACCCGGCTGCCTTAGGCAGTTCGGACACCTGGAGTGGCCTGAGTTTCCGTGCGGATGATTTGGCCAAAATGATAGGCCAATGTGCTGTATACATCGCGAGGCACTGCTCGGGCTATGCTAGATCGTCAGGAGGCTGGGTCTACTTTGGAGACTTGGTGCAGAAACTATATGATGACGGTTTTACTTTCCAATCGTACGCCTTGGTTGCACACAGTTTAGCTGCGTTGCCGGCAGGGACAATCGATGTTTTGGGAATTTCCCCCAAAGACAGCCCCAATATTGTTGGAACACTAATCCACGCTCTGTGGGAAAAACACAATAAAAGATCTCTGCGAGAGAACAATGGAAGAGAAATGCCCATACCGATATTCTATAGGGCATGTCAGGGACATTCAACGTTCACCGCTTCGATTGAAAGAATGTATGTCCCGTGCGACCCTGGCCAAGTCAGGAGTCGAGGATCCCTTCTACATATTACGAGCCTACAGACATTTTTGGAGTCTACAAGTGGAAATGTTCGCTTTCCGACGGGCAATTCTGGGCTTTGTTATGCCGCAGATTACGATTTATTGCGTTTGCTTCCGGTACACAACAGCCCAACTATGCCTGGCCCCTCGGATTTTCTTCCGTGGCTAAGCCAAAGGAGATATAGACAAGCGCCCACCATAAAAACTCTAGTATCTATGGGCAACCGGGCTCGGAATGGGGAGCCGCCAAAGGTGGGTACCTTGCACGTGGATGACATGCGCCACCTCTGGCCATGTCTCCCCAATCTCAAGCATCATGAACAATGGGGTATTATCCTTGTTTTCACTGGCAGAGTGCTCGCCCGCTTCTCATGCAGAGTATGCCCAGACGGGGCGCTGGTGTCCCGGGAGGTGCCGAAATTCACGGACATCGACAAAGCCGTCTCCCTCGTGAGGCAGGCGAATCCGATGCGCTGGACTGTACTATTTGACCGCGAATTGTTTTCGTACGAGGTCACTTTCGACAACGCGTCAATTATTGCCTGGGTTAATACAGACGAGAGACTGATTATTAATTGGGATCGCGAAGCAAGGTTGGGAACCGCGATTCAAGATCGAATTATATCTACCCCGTGGGATGACGATGGGAGATTTCTTTGTTTCCGTTACCACTGGGTGAGGACAGGTTTTGCCATTTGTCCCGTCTGTAATTGCCCAATCAGATATAACTATAGGGTTTCACACGATTGCATGACCCAGACATGGAGGTACAAAACTATCCCGCAATCCCTTGAGGCACATGGTATTTGGATAATAGTGGATGAAGAAGTCCCTTGAGGCACATGGTATTTGGATAATAGTGGATGAAGAAGCAACTCCTGTCATGGAATCGTCATGAATACATGGATGCGCGGATAAAGAGACAAGGGAGAGCTTCTGCTAACGTTGCGAAAAACGTCGCCAACAACAATCAGCAGGAGCGAAAATGGGCCTCCAACTTTGCCACAATGGCGGCTGCTGGCACAATATTTGGCAACAGCCAGCAGGGAAACTTTCCGGCTTGGGTCCCAGAAAACGCCGAGGCTCAGCCTCCGGCGCGACATGCTCCTTTCTTCCAATACTTAAGGCCTTTGGTCAAGAGATTTATATCGTGGCTAGAACACTCGGCCAGAAGTGTGCAGAGGCGAACCCCGCCAATTAATAAATGGTGGCCGACATTGTGGGCGACTGGTTTTGACCAGTACGCTCGACCCAGATCCTGCCCAGTCCTACAAGCATTTCACTGGCCTGATGAACCGGATGACTTAATCACTCCTCGGATCGGCTGGGTACAACATGAGGAGAGCAAACCTCTTTGTTCCTACACTTGCCACAGTAGATGATTCCATACAGTTTGACATGTCTTAGTTCGGCGTATTTCCTGAGGATGCTGGAAACAACGCCGACATCGACAACCCTCCTGCGAGGTTATCGGTCGCCTGGGACAGCAATTTTAGAGCGCGACCGACTCGCAGTTCTCATTCCGTTGCAAGACGGGTTGGCATGTGTCGTTATCATCCCCGCGTTGCGACATGCCGCCGGCTCAGCCGCGAGGGCACGCGAACAGTCACACATGGATCTGGACCTAAAAGTAATCAGCTGGCCTAAGGCCGCGTCGATAACTGACGGACTCCTCACTCTTGACGAACCTGAGGGACACGTATATTTTCACCATGAGGACCCTTGACCAAAATAAGATTGTTTGTGGACGAAGTTCGAGAGGTTACCGCTCATTACATAATTGAACACACGGGAATAAACCCTACTACACCCGGCAGGGTCACCCTGACCGGAACGGCAGACTACGTGATCCCGGAGATCATCAAGACCAAGTGGATGACAATTGGTTAGTACCGGCACAGCACATGGAACTGGGCCTTCGGCCCATAAGGATTTTCGCACCTGTTCGTGAGATAGTCAGCTATTTCATATCGGAGGATCACTTTATTGGTTACCCGGGGCGAATCAGTCGTCCCGAAATGGAGCACGGATGAAAGCGAATCGAAGAAACGGACCGACGAATATGCCTTGGACTGCCGCATTCGTGCGGCTGTTGAGACAGACGACATTATAGAAATATGGGCCCACAAGATGGGCAGGAAGGTACATAATGACGTCCATTGTCATGGTGCTCTAATACAAGATGCCATAACTTGGCTACAGGATAAGTATCCTGACCCCGGTACCGATCTCCAGGACAAAGAAGATGATCCGTTCCGCACTGCATGCGGATTATATGGTGTCGCTGCAGCAACTGCTGCCAGAAGTATATTACAATTTATGAACGGTAGGAATAATGATCCTGAGCACGACGGCGAAGCCGCGATCGTGGGGCCGCGTGCGCCTGCTGGACCAAAGGCAAGACCTTTGTCTCGCACGCCGTCTCTTCGACCTGGCATCTCAGATGCTCAGGCGTCTGAGGAAGCTACTGGTTCCCCACGTTCTGTCGCCGGCTCAGCCGTGCCGACCAGAGAGGCTAACCTACAATGTCCCAACACGAGGGATCGGTCGGAATTGCGACGCGCGCGCGATGCAGCCATGGATGATGCCTCAGACGCGGCCGCTGATGATGCCGCCGGCCTTGTGCTGCCCGCGGCGGTGGACGCAGCCGCAGGCGCTGCCTCGGATGCTGCCAGCAGTGTCGCAGGATACGGCTACGAATACGATCGTGACAGGTCCTACCCGTGCTACGTGAATGGAATCCTTGTTGGGTATCACCTCCACCGGAACAGGATCACGTGGCTTACTAACGATCAATGGTACAATCTGCCGTACTGGACCTGGCTATCAAAATTGGAGCATGAACAACATTTCCCGCCGAGAGAGGCGGCATTGGTTGGGAATGCTGACAGAGACAGAGGGCGGTCTCGCACGCCTCGTGTCACGGACGTACAGACGGGAGGATCGGCGACTTCAAATCTGCCGCCTCCAGCGCCGCCCAGGCGAGAGAGTTCGTACAATCCGTAAGGGGACCTCAACTGAGCGCGGCCCGCGTGACTCCGTCCGCGGCAGGCGCGCACAAAACACTTTACCCGCGCGCTAAGCGCGTTGGGCGCGGACCTCTCTACTGGTCGGCTAAGCCGGTCCAGCGGAGAGAAACTATTTATAACAATGGTGGGAAACGTCGAGCCTCTTCGGCCCTTGGCCCCCTGGCAGCCACCGTTGAGCCGTAAAAGCTTTTTCGGGTTGGCTCCGGTGGTTGTGCAAATGTACAGGCCGGGGGTGCTGTGGCTGGATGGGCTCTACGCGGCCCGCCGCGGGGGGAGTAAATATGCTCGTCTCCGCCTCATACTCAATTAGAACTTAACTTAGCTTGCATGCGTTGTACTGTCCGCGTGAACTGAAGCTGCGTTTCCGCAGCCATGCGACTGCTCGAGCCAGCCGACCTCGGCTGGCAGGAGAGAAAGGAGCGCGCTGGGGTGCGTGGGCGGCTCGTCGTCGTCCGTCCTCGGCCGGCCTCCTCCCTTCATATTCCTGATAGAGTAGTCTTGCTTGACGGATACTTGTCTTATATGTGTCTCATCCCGCCTCCGCTCTCCCTGAGCAGAGTGAACATGAGATCCTAATTCCTTTGTTATCTTAGCCCGATTCTCAGAGGAAAGACTGTCGACGAGGGCGCCGCGCGATATTTGACCGCGCTCGGCTTGCACTGGGAAGCCGCCTCGATGGCCTCGGCCCGCCCTGGGCGCCCCAGCTTGAAGCGCGCGACCAGTAGTGGGCCGACTTGTCCAGCAGCGCAATGTGAGCGCAACTGCGCTGCGCCAGAGCCGGCCAGTTACCTCTTCCTCGCCGGCCCGTTCGTCGCGCTGTTCGCGGGCGCGGCCGAGCTGCTGGTTGGCCTCGCCGCGGGCTGCGGCGTGGCCCAGGCGCGGCGCAAACGGGCCCGGGCGATCGCTGCCCCTTCGGCAGCGGCGGGCGAGCCGGCGATCGCGGCGCTGCCCGCCAGAGGGCCCGTCGCACCGGCCAGTCTGCGGGATGCCCTCGCATGACTCGAATGGGCCGCGTGTTCTCGTCCACCGCCTTGATGGCGAGAGTGGTCTGGCGTGGCATCGTCGCGTTCTTCTCCATTCTGTTTCGGGCGGCCGACGGGTTTGCCTCGCGCCCGACCCAGGCTTGCAGATTTCGCAATCTCAACGAACACCGCCGCCGCGTTGTCACGCGGGGGGCAGCCTTCCCCGGTTGCGTCGGGGCTCTCTGCTACGCGTTTGATGACGGCGGAGTCTCTCGAGCGCAGTGGGATGAGCACAAACGTCGGTCTAGAGCGCGGGCGGCCATCCTCGGGGGCGGCGAGTTCGAGGAGGTCCAGCGGCTGGCGCACGAGGCGGGGGCCACCATTTTGGCGAGGAGGTTCCCGCCGATGTTTTGGAGGACGAGCAGCGCTTCGCGTCTCTCGGGTCGCTGGGCGTCGACAACTGGCTGGGGCAGAAGAGCTTCGTGGAGCGCGTCTCGGCTGACGAGGTCGACGAGTGGGAGCAGGGGGGCGGGGGTCCGAGGGCGACTCGCAGATCATCGGCATCAGCCGCAAGCGTGGGAAGCGCAACCTGGCGCCCCGCGAGGCGGAGCAGGTCTTCGCCGAGGAGAACTTCGGCGACCGGCCGCCCCCCGCGCCGCGAGCGGCGCTCGAGCGCCCGGCCGCCCGGGGTCGGCGTGAGACGGGCCTGGCTCCGCGAGGCGTCCGCGAAGGCGCCGCGGTTCTCCGCGGGCGCGGCAGCGGCTCGGCGCCGAGGTCCCCGGGCCGGCCCTCCAGGTGGACCAGCTCGACATCCCGAACCCGGCGCTTCGAGCAGATGATTGGCCGACGGGCGCAGATCGAGCTGGCGGTCGAGCGGAGCGCCACATGTCCAGACTGCGGGGGCTTGGGCGCGGTGCTCGCGCGCGGCGACGGAGAGCGACGCCGCCCCCGGCCTGTCCTTCCGCGAGTGGATCTGCGGGGGGCAGGGCGAGAGGGCGGCGCGGGCGCTCAAGCAGGCCCGCCCCCTTCGCGAGGAGAAGGTTCAGGAGGAGAAACGTTCGCGCGGCGGGGGTCGCGAGGGCGGTCGCGGCCCCGGGAAGCCGAAGGGGCCCAGGCACGGCACCAGCGGCAGAGGCGACGATGGAGAGGGCCCCGGGGATTGACCTGAGTGGTCGGCCCCCTCCTGACAGGGGCGGCCGGCTATCGCGGCCGCCCCCGCCGCCAGTTTTGGTCGTGGAGGCGCCGGCGCGCGACGGCGTCCTAACTCGCGGCGACGCCGTGGGGAGCTTTTCCCATTGCCGCCATCAACGTGAATGGCGCCTGCCTCTCCTGACGCCCTCCGATGCGTTCGGCGGCGTCGGCTCGGGGGGCGCACTCGGCGTCGTCGAGGGTGCGAAGCGGTTCGGCATCCAAATCACCTCGCTGCCGCGGCGACTTCTGCGTCGAGCGTCTCGTGCGAGGAGATGGAGGCGAGCGGGCGACCCCGTTGCAATGTGACGTCCTGCAGCGCGTTGCTCGGCGCGTCAAGGCGCGCGGCCCTCCGCCTCGAGACCTGGGCTAGCGCCGAGCCCCCGCGGGGCTCTCGGCGCCCGGGGGCCCGTGTTCGCAGTGGCCGAAGAATCTGGCCGAGTGCGACATCGACATGCTCATGATCGCCCGCGCGAGCGCCATGGCGAAGCCCGCAAAGGCGCCCCTGCCGCCCGACGTGGCGGGCCTCGCCAGGGTCTGCGAGCATTGCGTCGAATAGGGGCGTGAAACCTGCGCTGGAGCTGCGGGCCGCGCGAGACTTTCCGCGGCCCTATTGGGGCCCGGCGCCGGCTCGGGGTCGAGATGGGCCCCCGCTTCTCGCCGAGCGGCTTCGACGGTCGAACCCGCCAATTTTCGCAGGGAGTTCATGGCCAAGATCGAGATTTTCTTCGCCAAGAAGGAGAGCCCAGCCTGGACTGGGCCCATCATCGTCGCGAGGCAGGCCACAGGGCGCCATTGTGCACCGCCGAAGACGCGACTGGGATCGGTCGGCGGGCCCTGCGAATTCCACCTGTCGGAGCCCGCGCTGCAGGACTTCGGCGGCTTCAGGCCCGCGGCCGGGATTTAGGGGGGCACCGGCGACGTCGACGACTGCTTCTACCAGATGCTGGCGGAGGAGCTGGGGTTCTGGTTCGGGATCGACCTGCCCAGCTCGGCGGGCGAGCGGGGCGCGTTCAGTGTCTGCGACGACGAGGCTGGCCGACGGGCCCCGATCGACTCCGCCGAGGTCGCTTGCCCCATCTTCCGCTGCGCGGCGACGGGCTGGTCCTGGGCGCCCCGCCGGGCCGCCGAGGCGGATGCGTACCTGGCAGGCCGGAGCGCGGTCTGCCCGAGATCGCTCGCGCCAAAGCGCGCCTGCCCCGGCGTTTCGGGCCGGGCAGGCGGCCTCGGGCGCGCGCGGGCATCTTCGCGAGCCTTGCCGGGGACCAGCTGGGCGCCGAGGACTCGATCGCGCGGTTCCGCAGCGCGGCTGCCGAGGTGGGGGCTGGCACTCGCGTCGACGGCGACGTCGGGGTGGTCTTCGAGAGCCTCGGGGTCGTCTCCGACGGCGAGCAGCGCGACCTCCGGCGCGCGCCGCGCCCGGCGCGGCGAGTTGAGTTTGCCGCGCGGGCTTTGCGAAGGCAGCGCTGGGTCCATGGGGATATTTTGGAGATTTGGGTGGGCCACGTCGTCAACCTGTCCGGCTTGCTACGGCCTGGGCTCATGCTCCCGGCAGATCCACCCATTCGCGGCAGCTTCCGGGGGCCGCCGCTAGACGCCGTCAAGAACGAGATGCGGCTGGTCTAGGGGCTGCTCGTCCTCTGCGAGTGCGACCTCTGCGCCAGCTTGCAGCCGGGAGGTCTACTGCTCGGATTTTTTCGGACATCGGGCGCGCGCTGTTGTCCGCGAAGGCGACCGGCGCCGAGCTTCGGGGCCTCGCCTGGCACCGAAAGGTTCAAGCTCGTCGAAACCCTATCGGAGGTTGCCATGGTTCGACCAGTGTGGGTCGAACATGTTGGAGGCCGGTTGCGGCTTCCCGGTGTAGCCGATCTTCCCGGCGGCGCGCAGTATGGGCGTGCCGTGGACGAGGAGCGCAGCCGCCAGCAGGCCGACGACGTCGGCCGCGCGAAGCGTAAGTCTCGCTAGCCCCGATCCCGATCGTGCCACGAGGTGGTCAATGTGCCGAGCGCCATCCCGCAGATCGACTGGTGCTGGGCCTCGCTGCAGAGGTGGAAGCAGCTTCGAGTCGGGCGCTGGATGTGGTCTGCGGAGCACATCTACGTCAAGGAGGGCCGCGTCTCTCTGTTCGGCCAATCGAGGGCGACGTGCGCCCGCGAGAACCGCGGCGAGCGGGTCGCGCCCATCAGCAACGACCTCGTGTCTATCTGTGCTGTCGAGAAGGGCCTCGCGAAATCGCAGGCCTCCAATTCGCTGGCGAGACGGGCGGCCAGCTACCAGGTGGCCGCTTGCATCCGCTGGCCCTCTCGGCCCGTCGAGAGCAGACGCAGCGCGGCAGACGCCGGTTCGCGTCTGCGCCAGGTTGGAGGATCCGTCGACACCCCCACTCCAGGTCGAGCCAAGTCCTGAGCCAGAAGACGACTCGTGCGCTAATGGTTCGGACGACCTTCCAGCAACTGTCCCACGCCCCGCGCGCGGAGGTAGAGGACCCCTCCGAGTGGCTATTCCCGGCGAGGACGAACTTCAGCGTGGAGCGACGTTCGCTTTTGCAGGAACAACATGTCATAACCTCATGAAGTCCTGATCCTCTCTGGCCTAATATGTATATGTATATGTATGTATGTGTGTATGTATATGCGTACGTACGTATGTATGTATGCGTGCATGCATGTTTGTATGTGTGCATGTATGTAGGTATGTCGATAAATATGCAAGTTTGTATGTTTGTATGGTTGTACGTATGTGCGTGTATGTATGTATGTATGTATGTATGTAGGTAGGTAGGTAGGTAGGTAGGTAGGTAGGTCGGTATGTATGTATGTATGTATGTATGTATGTATGTATGTATGTATGTATGTATGCATGCATGCATGCATGCATGCATGCATGCATGTATGTATGTATGTATGTATGTATGTATGTATGTATGCGTGGATGCGGGTATATATGCACACATCTATATGTATATATATATATATATGCATTATATGATGTATATATGTATAGATGTATATGTATATGTATATGAATGTGTGTACATATCCCGTTGAGAACCCCGTGCGCGGCCTCGTCCATTGCGAGGAGGGGGCGTTGTTAATTTTGTCAAGGCTCGCGCTGAGCAGGCGGTCGCGGTGGGGCGGGTCTCCTTCGCCGCAGAGGTTTGCGCGCCGGCGCCTTGGTGCGGGGCTCTCTGGGGCCTGGAGAACCCAGCTTCCTCGGGGCTCTGGGAGTTCGGGCCCGTCGTGGATCTCATGGGGCCCTCAGAGGTCTTCAAAGCCACCTTGCCCGCGCGCAGCATGAGAACTCTCGCTTGAAGTCCCGCGCTATCCTTCCTAACATGTTGGCCCCGCGCGTTTTCAAAGCGAGGTGTTCCTGGGGCGTGTTCATCGCATGTTGCATGGTCGTGATCGAGCCTTGGGAGTTGATGGAGTCTGGCGTTCGCACTGTAAGATTCATGCAGCTGGTGCGCATCCGTCGTCATTGCGCTCAGAGCTGGCTTCTTTTTTCCCGACCATCCTGTTGTGTTGGGCCCTCGTTTTGAAGAGACTGTCCCCGCGTTCCTTTTCCTCCTCTCCTCCCCCCCCCCCCTCCGCCGAAGGTCCCAGCGTGGCCGACCGCAAGCGTCAGCCACCACCCGGCACAGCGCGTCGCGGCCCCATAGGGGGCCCCACCGAAGGCCCCAGTGCCGCCGCCCGCGCGCGCCAGCCACCACCCAGCATAACGCTTCGCGGCCCCGTATGGAGCTCCACAGAAGCCCCCAGTGGGGCCGCCCGCATGCGTCGGCCACCACCCAGCGCAAGGTGTCGTGGCCCCTAAGGGGGCTCCACCGAAGGCCACAGCGGCGCCACCTGCATGCGTCAGCCACCACCCAATACTGCGCTTCGTGGCCTCATGGGGAGCTCCACCGAAGGTCCCAGTGGGACCGCGGGCATGCCTCAGCCACCACCCAGGACTGCGTTTCGTGGACGCGTAAAAAGCTCCACCGAAGGCCCCAGTGGCACCGCCCGCATGCGCCAACCACCACCCAGCACAACGTCTCGTGGCCCCATATGGAGCCCGGAGCCCCACCGAAGGTCCCAATGGGACCGCCCGCGTGCGTCAGCCACCACCCAGTACAGCGTTTCGTGGCCCCATATGGAGCCCCACCGATGGCCCCAGTGGCACCGCCCGCATGCATCAGCCACCGCCCAGCACAACGTTTCGTGGCCCCACATGGAGCCCCACCGAAGGCCCCAGTGGGGCCGCCCGTGTGCGTCAGCCACCACCCAGTGCAGCGCTACGTGGCCCCATGGGGGGCGCCACCGATTGCCCCAGTAGTCCTCTGGGACCCCTTGAGAGTTCCGGCCCCCCCGAAATCTGTGAACATGTGCAAGGATTCGTTTCCTCCAGATCCCGTCTCTTTCCTGCTAAGGTGAAGTACGCCACCAAACGCCAGCGCCAGAAAGAACGCGAGAGGCTCCAGGCGGAGCGCGAGAAGGAGCGCAAGCGGCTGCGGACGGAGGCGCAGGCGCTGAACCAGGTCCACGGCGACCAGCAAGAAGGGGATCAGCCCAACGACACGGAGGCCGACGAAGAGAAGGCGGAGGAGGAGGAGGAGGAGGAGGAGGAGGTTGACGACGAGGCCCTCGATGAGGTTGCGCCAGAGGAGCAAGAGATGGACCCCGCGGACTTTCCCCTGCGCGTACCGACGGGAGACCGGCTAAACGTCATCCTCGTCGGCCCCCCGCTCAGTGGTAAGACCGTTGCCGCTCAAGCCTTGGCGGCCAAGGATGGACGGAAAGTCTTGAGCATTGACGAGGTTGTCGATTGGGCGAGATCTGGCCCAGCGTCCCTGAACAGTCAGGAGGACAAAGACCTTACACTCAAGTTGGCGGGGATCATGGCCAGGGACGAGGAACTGCACGAGCAGGCCGAGCAGCAACGCGAGAAGGATTGCAAGAAGGCGAAGACCCCGTTCGTAAAGCAGCCGGTGCAGAATTATTCGTTCCCCGTGGAGGACGTGGCGTGGCTTATCAAGAAGAGAGCTGCTCTGCCAGACTGCAATTGTGGGGTCGTCTTCGACGGGTTTGATTCCAAGTACCTACCTTCCATCGAGGCCTCGGTCGAGGCCGTGCTGACTGCGTTATCCGAGAAGCTGGTCGTGGTCGGGATTGGGCTAGACTGCCTGGGCTTCAGCGAGCGGGCGCCTCTGGGGGTGAACGACCCTGCGCTGGGAGCACTTGCGCAGGACGGCCCCGAGACGGAAGAGGCGTTGCAGAGGATGGCGGCCGCAGTCAGGGGCCACCTCCCCGCGGTGAAGGAGCAATTGCAGGGGCGCCAGAAGGACTTGGAGGGACAGTTGCAGCTGGCACGGGACTCTCTGGCGGCCTTGGGTGATCCTCCTCCTCCTGCCGGGCAGGAGGGCGGACCGGCGCCAGCGCAGCCCTGTGAGGGGGTCCCGGCGGAGGACCAGGCCCACCAGGAGTCTGGGATTGATGCGCAGCGGGAAGCTCAGGAGAAGCTCGTGACACGCCTGACGGCTGACATGGGGGACGTCAGCGCGCGTTTGGCCCAGTTGACAGTCTTGGCGGAGAAGAAACAGGAGGGCGAGCTCGCCTCGAAGGTCCTTACCGCGGTACTAGCGCTCGACAAGTTGGCTGTGAAGGCGAACGAGGACATCAAGGCCGCGGCGTTGGAGGCGGCGCCCCCAGCCAGGTCGCCCAGGTCGTCGCCCAAGTTCAGCCCCCCTGGCAGGCAGGAAGAGTCGAGGCCAGTGTCAGCGGAGCCCTCCTCGGTGATGTTGGTGCCCGTCGCGATGAGCTCGGAGGGCTTCTTCGAAGTCCTGAAGGCTGACATCCAAGCAGCAGTTCCCGCGCCCATCATACCAGCGGAGCCCCCGCTACCGACGCCTTCGCTCGCGCAGGTCGTGAGTCGGCCGCAGGCGCGACCCCGACGGGTCCCGCCAGAGAACTTCCAGATCATAACCCCGCCAGATGACGATGAGCCCCCGCCACAGGAGTTCCTGACCCCCACCGACAAGGACGGCAAGAAGCCTGGCAAGCCCGGTTCCGCACAAACTGCGGCTTCGGCTGCAGAGGCGCGCCCCGAGTCGAAACCGAGCCCCACGCGGTGGCTGTTGCAGCCCCACGAGCGGAGGCGGCTGCTGCTCAAGTTCTTCTCGCAGGAGGTCGGCACATTCACACACACCTTGGCGTTCGAGGTGGTGGGCGGCACCCGTGGGAAATCCCCTGTCTCGTTGGCGGCGACTGGCGTGACCGACTACCCTAAGATAAGCGGCGATCCGCGCAACGTGTTCATGCGTCGGGTCAAGACCAAGCCTCCCAGCGGCTACGCAAACAAGCAGTACATTGCGTCCTTGGGGGTGTACGACTTCGGGCCGCTGCTCGCGGGCCGCGATCGCAACTGTCACCAGCTCCCAGAGCAGGTGGAGGGGAAGCCTCGTGCAAAGCTTGAGAAGAGCGTGGAGCGCCATATCGAGACGCTCCGCGTCACCAACAACTCCCTGTTCAAGGCCAAGGTGCGCTTCAGCTTCAGCGGGCCCGACGGCTCTGCGGTTGGGGAGCCAGCCCGGGCGACCCCCGTGGAGCCAAAGGCCAAGGCGAAGGGCGCCGCGGCAAAGGAGCCGAAGAAGAGCGACATTGCCGACAAGGCCAAGGAGTCTGTATTCAGCATCGAGCCGCAGGATATGGAGCTCGACATTGACGAGACCCGGGAGGTCAAGCTCTGCTGCTTCCCCGCGGTCGAAGGCAGCTTTTCCGACACGCTAGTGGCCACCGTGGAGAACAACCCAGTGCCAGTCGAGTTCGCCATTTGCGCCATCGGCGCCGTGCCGAAGGTGAACTTGGACACCAATGAGGTAGATTTTGACCGCCTCCTGTTGAAGCAGAAGGCCACAGAGTCGCTGAAGCTGGCCAACGTGTGCGCAGTGCCTGTGAAATGGAGGCTAAAGGAACCCGCTAATGGATTGCCGCTGCAGTTCGACGTGGAGCCAATGGAGGGCACGCTAGCCGTCGCTGAGGAGCAGACAATCTCCGTGACATTCCAGCCAGAGGATTCGCAGTCCCACAATTTCTTATTAAAGTTGCAGATCGGCGATGTGGAAGATCTCAAGCCCCTGGAGGACACCCACGACATCAAGGTGGCTGGTGAGGGTTACCAGGTCGACGTCGTGCCAGAGATTCCTGGTGAGGGATGCGGGCTCGATTTCGATGCCGTGCGCGTGGGCAGTGCAGAGGAGCGGACTTTCAATGTGGTGAACAACGGGAAGTACCCAGTCAGGTATGAGGTCAAGGTTCCAGAACGCCGGAAGGCACTCCGCGATATGCTCGAGATCGAGACCGCCGTCAACGAGGACGGCGTGGCGCTCCTAGAGCCAGGTCAGAAGAAACAGGTCAAGGTGAAGTTCATGCCTTTGCAGGAGATGCAGTGTCCAGACCCACGCAGGCCTGGGAGAAAAGAGGAGCTCGAGCTGCTCGTTTTCGAGGCGAAGTCAGGCGAGCCCGTGCAGCTCGAGAGAGTGCCCATCGCGCTCACCTTCCAGGCTCTTTACAACTCGTTCTCCATCACGCCGCCGCGGGGGCTGAACTTTGGACCGGTCAGGTCGGAGGGGGGAGTCTCAACATTCACATGCTTTGTCATTGTTCCGTATCGTTTACATCGCCAAACCTTTCCGTTCCACCGTCCCCTTCGGTTTGTTTAGGTTTACCCGTCTGAGGCCGCCTGTGGTGCCTGTGAAGGGATGTTTGGATTGGGGCTGTCTTGGGTTGTCAGAGGTCTCTTGGGGCCCTCTTAAGCTATCGAGGTGCTCTTCTAGGGCTGTTTTGGGACGTCTTGGTCTCTCTGGAGGGCTTCTTGGGCTGTCTTACCACCTCTGGGATTATCCTCTTTTCTTCTGCCTCTGGCCGGGGGTGGGGTGGCGAGGGGGGGCGGCCGAGTGACCCCGAAGAAGGAAGGGCAAATGCGAGATGTATCGAGCGTTTGTCCGCAGCCATTTTGGCCCAGTGACCGGCCATCTGGCCGGGCCGCACCGCGGCCCGCTACCTTACATCGAGACAGAACAGATTCCACCCTTTACTCTTGAGATGTATCATCGCCGCTCACGCGGCCCCGTCCTACTTCTGGCACTATCGCTAATACGATACAACAGGTTTGGACGCATGCTTCGCCTTAGGCGAAGCATCTGGTTGGGCCTCTCGACAAACTTTATGCTTGGTAGCGGAGCTGGCCCTTCGTGGTCAGCTCTGGCTGTATTTCTTCCTATCCACGGCACTATCTGGTGGATTACCGACATGGTGGAACATCAGGGTGAAGTGGCCCAACGTGAAGGAGCTCTATACCATCGCAAGGACACTTGCACTGCTGCCTCTGCTCACGCAGAGGTCGCTCACCTGAGCCCTACATCTCTGCGCTGCTGCACTCCTGAAGTCTACCCACCTACGCCAATTTGCAGTTTCAGCGAATATACTATGCATGGTAACATGCGTTCTGACACCGTACCGCCTTCACCTCCTCGCGAACTGACGGCGCCGTCACCTCGTAACCAACAGCCACGTACGGGGCCACTGGATTGGCATCGCTATCTTTGGCCTCCTCTGGGTCGCCATCGGATGCGCTGTTGGACGTATGCAGCGTGGTTCAGACGACACGCGCAGCACCGGCCCTCGCAGGGACCCTGCCGGTAACGTACCTTCTGCGAGTTCGCACGCCTGGATCAACGTGCCCACAGGGACTATTACCCCCCCCATCACAGGCCGCCGCTTTACAGCGCGGCCTTGGAGGTTTCGCGGGGACCATGGCCGTGAGAGCCCCCCCCGCAACGATCAACTTTGGAGTGAACATTGGTGGGCGCCACGCCGATGGAGTCACTTACATAATGTTCCTCCTCAGCACTAAGTTTGAGAACTTGGAAGAGGAACGACATCTTAATTCGGGAACAGTTCCCATTGCCTTCGCGCCCATGCGGGAGAACGGATCGACCAGATGCTGGCCCGCTTCGAGATTGCGCGCTTCGAGGCTGACGCCGCGGGGTTCAACGTCCCAACATTCCAGATCCTGACAGGCATCTTGTTCGGGTCCCTAGGCGTCGATACTTCGCGTGCACAGCAACTACTACGACCGCTGAACTACCAAATGCCAAAGACCCAGCAACAGTTCGACTCCTTACTGGAGCGCATGAGGGCTTGCGCCCATATTGCCGAGCGAACCCCTGGCAACATTGGTGCAGTGATGTCTGTCATGGCGACACTCATGCTGGGCAACCTGCCAACGCCGTCCGGGATGACGACCCGCAACCAAACGAGGTCACCATCCTATTATGCCAACGAGGTGGCCAATTCATGGGTTCTTAAGACTCCTGGGCTCGATGTCAGGAGCCGTCGGCAACGTCGGCGCCCGCCCAAGCCACTGCCTTCATGGGCTCGGCGGGGTGACCTGCAGAATCCAATATTGACTCAGGCGCCGATGCTGACGCCTCGTCCGATCATGGAGCTGGTAACTTGGATTTTTATGATATGCCTGTGCACCTCACTGAATAGCAACGAGCGCAATCTATATTCCTGGGCCACCAGAAACAAAGACGCCGATGAAAACGTTTTCTGAAGAAACCAGTTCGAGAGGTGCGACGCGCAGTCCGTCGTGCGTTTTAGGCCAAAGGGCAAGGCTAGAGGTAAGGATGAACGACGACGTTTGCATGGTAGAGGCATGCTGACATTCCTGGCCCCCTTGCGGGGCCACGGCATGGGGGAATCTTTCCAGGGGGAAGAGGGGGGCGTAGGCGCGCCAAAAGGCAAGGGGCGTCGGGGTAACCCGAAGGGTGCCGCAGTGAAAATTATGGAATGCGATTTCCATTGGCCCAGCAATTTCGTCGCGAATTCCACGGGGGCGACGGGGTAGGCGGGGGTCCATCGATGCATGTGGCTCGAACCGGTTCTGACGTTCAGTATGTCGATTTCGAAGCCCTGGCCGAATCAGGGGACGACCCCGCGGCCGCTGTCCACGTCGCGCCCGCGAGGTACATGGGCGCCGGCGTGTCCCTCGAGAGGTGCGCCGAGGAGCTCTTCGAGGAGGTCCACGTTGGCCGCGACGAGATCGATCTCGCAGACTGGTTGGGCATCCCGATCGCGGGGCCACTTGCGCGCGCGGAGATCGTCGAGGAGCGCCGACCGCCCGCCGACTCGAATTGCGAGATGGCGGGGGCACTTGCGCATTCCGATGGGCACGAGCCCGATAGTTCTGATGATGGCGCGACACCAGCTGCGAAGGAGGAGCTTCAAGCGTCGCTCCGACCGCAGGCGATTGGGAACCCCGCGCGCAGGGTAATCTGCGACGACGATACTTTGCGGGGTTAACCGCGCGACGCTGGCGACCTCTCTGAGCGGATTCAGTGCGAACTCGGACACGACGACGGCTCTCACTTCATCTTTGAAATACGTGACCGCCCTTCGAGCCGTGAGGCTTGGAGACGCGTGGGGCGCGTTGAGGATGATGGTGAGGAATGGGGGGCTGCGAGCAATCCGCCATGCCATCGCCGGCGGAGTCATTCGCGCAGGCGCTCGCGTGCCCGCTCAAGCAGCACGCAGCGCCCGCGTCCAAGAGATCCGAGAGGATCGCTCAGAAGGGCACGGTCGTTGGGCAACCCGCATCACCTCGATGAGGGTTCAGACGAGCCCGAAGGCCAGCCTCGATTCAGACTCGTCGGTGAACGGACGACGGGGTTGCTCGCCAACAGGTATCAGGCGACTATATGAGGCAATGGCGGGCCAGGGCTGGTCCGAGCATGGAGTCCGACATCATTGGTCATCGCGGTCTGTGCAGCGGGCACCAGAAACGGTGCAAATCATCCGTTCCAACAGAAGAGACGGCGCCAAGACAGCTGAAGCGCTGGAGAGGGAGGCCGGCAAAAGAGCCATCGTTGCGGATAGGAAGACGCACCGAGAGGTCTGTGGATGCGAGCACTTCGCGGACCGCAGACCAGACTGCCCGACGGGGCGCCCTTCAAGGAGCCCCGACTTCGAGAGGGCCCCACGGGTCTGGTCCCATGGGGGCGGCGAAGGCCGCAAGGCGGGCCTAAACTGCAACCCCAGTGACGCACGCCTGACCAAGGCGGACTACAAGCCGCTAGATGCGGCCCAGGCAGGACTTGTCGAGAAGGCCTGGGAAGCCCTAGATGAGTAGCACCGACTTAAGCGTTGCAGTCGGGCATGCCTCGAGGCCCGCTTTTATGCCCCAGCGGCCTCCTCTGCGGGGGAGCCTGCTTCTTCTCGCGGATGCGCCAATAAGGGCCGGGGCGAGCGGGGTCGCCCGCCAGCTGCGGCTGATGGAGAAGACGAGGCGTCGGGTTGATCCCGCTGTACCTGCACCTGCGTCTGAATGCGAACGCGATTCCTATGCTGACGAAGACGCTGATACAGATATAGACATCGACGTGCAAGTCGCGGAGGGCGCGGCCTTGGAAGAGGGCGAGTCAGTGGTGCATCGCGGCAAAGGCATTGGATGGATAGTTACTGCCAAATGGAAACCATGATTTGGATTGCAACAAGAATTCCAAGATCGAGAATGTGAGGGCCTACCGACGTGAGCGGGCGCCTCCGTCAGACTGCCCCTCGCGCGCGAGCGCGGGGAGACCTGCTGCGTTCGCTGTCGCGGGCAACCCGTTGAGAAAGCGCGCGAGCCCCCGAACCCCCCGCAGCGCACTCCGAAGGCCGTGGACCTATCTCCATCTTCAAGCTTGCCGAGGTCACCCAGGTTGAAGGTGCGAACCAGTTCAGCAGAGGCCGACCCTGGAAGAAGCAAGGCGAATCGATGTGACGGGGGGCCCGCGGGGAAACCTGCCCGCATAACGCGCTCCAGGGGGCCAGCTGCGGCAGCCGCGGCGGCGGCGTTCCAGGGCAGCAGCGCGCCCAAACCGGAGGGGCCCGTCGCAGCACGCGGTGCCACTCCTGGCCGGGCTCGCCTTGGAGCTGGCTGGTCACCCTCATTGGGCGGTTCAACAATGCAGCATGCCTCGCAGTCCGACGCGGAAAGGAAAACACTCCAGACCACATCCAAGGCACCAGGAGCTCCAAAGGTGAACAGGTCTTAGTGCAAGGACATCCGCGAAAAGAGAAGGGCCCACTTGGGTGCGCGGGGCCACCCGCCGAGCCCGCTGCCGCGTCGGCTTCTGCGGGGACACCCGCCGCATCTGCATCTGCGCATGCGGGGCAACCTCCCTGAAATTGAAGAGGGGGGCAGGTTGTGCTGGGAATCGCTTGGCACTCCAAATCAGACGCTAGTCAACCCGTCATATAATGGCGCCGCCGATGATGTTTCGAGCCGACGCAGAGTAGCACAGTGCTCGACTGCGTGCGCGGCAACGTTCGTGACTGAGGTAACTGTCGAACGCCAGCGCGTCCGTGGCCTACTGCGCAGAGAGCAGCCCTGACCTGCAGCGGTGAAGCTGAAGCACTGACGGCGACGCTCAAGAAAGAGAAGCAGCCAACGCGGTTACCGAATCAGAATGAACAGCGCTGCTGCTCGGAGTGGCTCACTACAGCCACCCAGCACGAGCCATTTCACAGCGACGGCCTTTCGTGCAGGTTCACGGGTGCGGTTGTCTCATATGGCGAGTTCGGTGGTTGGGTATGCCCGGGCAAATTAGCCGCCAGAGGGCTGCGACAACTATCATAAGAAACACCTGGGCTTCGTCAAGCAATGCCCCAAGTCCAAGCATTGGGCATACCAAGCACTAGCAGTGCTGAGAATGTGCGAGATGATCGAGCGCAGCACTGGCATGCAGGTAAACTGGCTCCAGGCAAAGAAAGTTACACTCCGCGGGGGCACCTGCCCGACTTCTTATCTGAGGCCCAGCACTGGGTGCGGCAGTCCAGGCATAGCGCCCAGAATCACTGCACTCGCGGGTGGCAGACTTGACAGAGGCAGGAGCATCGCGCTATTTCAGACACGGGGCTCAATGGGGGCATATCCCCAGCATGCTGAATGTCGGTCTGTCGCGCCGAATCGAAGATAACTCTAAGGTTGGGCCAGGTAGACAGATGATTCATGGATGCCCATATTTGCCGGGGGATAAGCGCACCCAGTCGGGCCCACGGGCGGACGCCGAGGTGCTGATAGTAGTGGGCCTCGGGAACCTGATTCGAGATAGTATGCCCCCAGTCCGGCGATCCGCCAGGCCCCCCGCTAGTGGTCAGCGCGCCGCCTCCGCCCCAGTATTTGCGATTTCGGCGCGGCGCCGCCCCTTCTTGACCGGCGCGCTTCCTCCGCGCCCCCCGCTCGCCTGCCGGCGCGCCCCCCCCGCCCCGGCCTTTTACTTTGGGCGCGGCGCCGCCCCCTCCCGGCCCGCGCGCCGCGCCCGCGGCCTCCGCCCGCCAGACAGCGCGGCCCCTCCGTTCCGCCCCTCCTAGTTCGGCGCGGCCCCGCCCCGCCCGACCCCCCCCTATAGGCTTTCTACGCCCTCCCACCTGCCGGCCAGCGCGCCTCGTCCAGCCCGCGCCCCCCGCCCGCCAGCCCGCGCGCCGCCTCCGCTCCGACCCTTTGATTTCGGCGCAGCGCCGCCATCTCTGCCCCGGCCCTTGCGTTCCGGCACGGCCCCGCCTCCCCCCCCACGCCCCGCGCCTCCTCTGCATGCGTCGCCCCGCCCGTCAGCCGGCGCGCCCCCCCGGCCCCAGCGCTGCGTCGGCGCGGCGCTGCCCCCCCCGCCCCGCGCGCCCCCTCCGCGTCGCCCCGCGCGCCAGCCAGCGCGCGCCGCCCGCCCCGATTCTTTTATTTCGGCACGGCGCCGCCCCCCTCTCATCCCGCGCGCCCCCGCCGCGCCCCCCCGCTTTCCCCCGGCCAGAGCGCCTCCTCCGCCCCGATTCCTTCGCATCGGCGCGGCGCCGGCCCACCCCGTCCCGCGCGCCTCCCCCGCCGCCCCCGCCCGCCGGCCAGCGCGCCCCCTCCGCCTCGGCCCTTTTTATTCTGGCGCGGCCCCGCCCCGCCCTGAGTCCTCCGCGCTTTCCCGCTGCCAGCCAGCGCGCGCCCTCCGGCCCGCGCCCGCCTCGCGCCCCCCCGCCCGCCAGCCGGCGCGCCCCCCCCGCTCCGGCGCCTTCATCATTTCGTTGCGGCACCGCCGCCTCTGCCCCGAACATATTAATTATTTCGGCGCGGCGCCGCCCCCCCCGCGTCCCGCGCGCGCCCTCCGCGTCGCCCCGCGCTCGCCAGCCAGCGCGCCCCCTCCGCTCGATCCTTAATGTTCGGCACGGCGCCGCGCCCCTCTCTCGAGCGCCCCCCCCGCATCGCCCCGCTCGCCCACTCGCCAGCAGGTGCTTCCCTCCACCCTGATCGTTTTATTTCGGCGCGACACCGTGCCCCCCATCCTGAGCGCCCCCCTGCATGGCCCCATCCACTGGCCAGCGCGCCCCCTCCGCCCCGACCCATTTATTTTATCGCTTCGCGCATTCGCCGGCCCGCGTTGTGTCCCCGCTGTCGTTCGTCGGGGTGTTGTTGTCAAGGCGGAGCCGTTGGGCGGCTGCTATTTTTCGTTCGGAGGCGGTGGGTGGTGGGTTAAGCATCATGGATGTTGGTTGAGCTCTCGTGGTTGGCGTCTCGGGGGCTTGTGGGAGGCAGTTTTGAGGCCTCCTGGGGGCCGTGTTGGTACCTCTTGGGGGCCTCTTGGGGCTTCTTGGGGTGCCAGTTGGGGGCCCCTTGAGGCCTCTTGGGGACCTCTCGGGCCTCCTGGAGGTTTTTTTCAGGCTGAAGGCTGAACTTTTCGGTTCCTGGTCCCATTCTTGGGCCCCTCTTGAGGCCCTTTTTAGGCCGTCTTGGGGCCCTCTTGGGCTCTCTTGGGCCCGTCTCGGGGGCGCGTAGGGCCGTCTGGGGACGATGTTGGAGGCCTTTCGGGCAGTAGTGGATGCTGTGAACCCCCGAACGTCGCGCATGCGATAAATGTAGGCCTTCCGGAGGGAGTGGCATGATTTTTGTTTGTTGGGACTCTTTTGGAGAGCCTCTTTGGTTTTGTTCGCGGCTTCTGGGGCCACCTGGAAACCGTCTCGAGCGTCTTGGAACGATTTTTCGGCGACTCGGGGCCTTTTGGGTCGCGCTGGGAGCGCCCCGGCGCCCTTCTGGCGTTCTCTAGGAGCGCCCTGGGGGAGTCGGCCAGCCGGGGTATTTTTCGCCCGGGGGTGCCAGGGGCCGCCGTCCGCGCGCGAATTGGAAATACTGTTGACCTGCCGCCGAGGATCTTAGCACGCATCTGGCCCGCTGGGCCAGCGAATTTCGGCACGGCACCGCCCCCTCCCATCCCGCTCGCCCCCCCGCATCCCCCCGCCCACCAGCCAGAGCGCCCCTTCCGCCCCGATGTTTTGTATTCCCTTGCGTTGCTGTGCTCTAGAGTTCCGAACCTTTTAGTCTTCGTCGTCCCAAGCCCGAAGACGCCCCAATCCCTAAGACGACCCAACTCCCAAGAGGCATTCGAAACGCAAAAACCAATAATGATTTACGATTGTTTTGTCAGAGTTTGGGAATGCGTTGTTTTTCTATATCCCGGGCGTCGGGGACCGCCCAGGAGGCCAGAGAATCGCCCCAGGCGGGCAATATTGAACTAAGAGGGCTCCCAGGCAGTCCAGGAGGAGCCCCAAGACGGCTCAACATGGCCCCAAGACGTCCCCCGAGTCTTTCCAAATCGTGATCCAATCGTTCAAGGAGAGCGCGGTTGGAAGCAGGGTGCTTTGGGGAAGCCCCTAGAGGCCCCGAGAAGGAACCCAGGAGGCCTCCAGAAGGCCCCAACAAGTCCTCAGAAATTTATGTGATGCCCTCAAGAGGCTTTCCTAGGATGATCCTGCGCAGAAGGAGCTGGGGGTCGGGACGAATTCGCAGGGTAGGGCGATAATGAGGAAGAGGAGCAGGGAACATGACGGAAGGATCACGAATAACATTATTACAACGACGATGCCAGAAAGGTCAACAACGAATTAACGCTAAACGTGATGTTTTACCACATTGCCCTCTTGCCCGCATGCCAAACCTCGAGGACCAGCGTGCATGTCGGGAAGCGCAGCTGCAGTCTTATATAAAACTAATGGATATGTATGTGCAAGCACATATACATATGCATAAATGTATGTACATACACACACATATATATGTATATATATATATATATGTCTATGTATACATATGCATCTACGTATATATATGTACTTGTTTAACTACATGTATATGTGTACGTACATGTATATGTATATGTATATGTGTGAATCTGTATATTGATGTGCATGTGTGTAATGTATATGTAAATGTTGTATGTGTATGAGTATGTGTGCGTGTGTGTGTGTAACTTCATGTATATACATATACGTATGTTCATGTGCTTTTGCAGGTGTATATGCATATGCCTTGTACATGTATATGTGTAAGTGTTCATGAACATATGTGTATTGGAAGTGATGCACGGGAGTGATGAACGTTCCGCCTGTCGCCGTTTTATCTCAAGCAATTTTCCACCTGAGGAGGTGGATGGCCGCGCTCGCCGGGGCTTCGCTGGCCAAGTAGGGGCCAGGCTCTTCATTGGTGCTCGGCTGTGTTCTGACAGGCGCTGGGCACCTGGCTAGGGCGCGAGAGCAGCGGCGGCGAGTCGACCTGCGTGTGCAAGTTCGAGGGCGCTAACGTCGACTCGGGCTTGATCTCGCTGCCGCAGCGCCGGCTCGAGGGGTGCGGAAGGAGAACCTCGTCCGCCAGGGGCCTTTCGTGAAGGCCTGGGCCGTCTACGACTGGGTGTTTGTCGGGGTGCGAGTGGTGCTCGCTTTCTTCTTGGGCCTGCTGGCGCGGGATCTCGCTTCCCTTGCTGTTTTCCGCAGGCCAGATGCCGCCGAAGATGTCGCACAAATTGACCATCGTGGAGCGCCTAGCTCGTCTGGTCTGGGTGCTCGCCTTCGACGAACTGGCCGATAACTACTGGCCCGAGCGTGTGCTATGGGAGCCCCTTGGGGGCGCGCGGTGTATCATAGTGACCCACCACCTCGACCTGCACGACGGGGACCTTGAGGAGGCCTTGGGTTTGAGGTCAGTCGGGCCGCGCGGCGGCATCGGCAAGGTGTACGGGAGGCTGCGGCGCACCGACATGGACGAGTTCGAACGTCGACGGCTTGAGCTTCTTCGGGCTGCCCGCGAGTGTGCTGAGCAGATTCGTGCCGAGGAGGGTCTTCCTGCTCCTGGCGACGGCGGCCCCATGTTTTTGGGTGACGCTGCCGCCGGCGATCCTGCCGGAACCGGACTTCCACCACTTCCTGCTCCTGCTGGTCCGCCGGCTTTCGGCGCGGGCGACTCGGGGGATGCCTTTCGGAACTGGGAGGTCACCGAGGCCCGAGACGGCTATGAAATCGACGACCTCATCTCGAGGGTGAGGGCCAAGGTGGGCTTCGGCGATCGAGGCGTGCCTGAGCTGTCTGACGGGGGCTCGTTGGCGGTGGCGCTGACCGGCACCACGTCGCGGCCAACGCCACGCGACCACGACGACATCAGGACTCTGGCGGTGAAGGTCGACAGCCTCGGAGATCGGAGCAGACCGTTCCCAGGCGCGGTGAACGCGATGCAGCTCATGAGCGTCGAGGGCTGGCCTATCGTTGGTCTTCGTACTTGCTTGTGGTTGCTCATGCAGTTCGTCAAGCTGAACTTCACCCCGATGCAGAGGTACCACTGGTGGCGCCAGATCCTTGGCTTGTCTGTTGAGGATGCGGAGGTTGTCGAACATGCTTTTCTCAGCGAGATGCTAAGGAGGTCGGGTGCCAGATCGACCAGGTGTGCCCGCCCAGCCTCGTGTTCTTCGAGATGGTGTGCTGGAGGTGCCAGCTGTGGGAGGAGGTTAAGGAAGCCGCGATCCTGAAGGAAAGGAGGGAGGGCCGGGAGGAGAAGCTCCTGGCCGCTGGTGCGGGTCCTGCCAGGGCCGCCTCTCCGGCACTGCACGCCTACACGGGCGTTCAGGAAGGCGCCAACCCCTCTGGTCAGCCGAAACCCATGAAGAAGCCCAAGAAGCCGAAGACGGCTCCCAAGGGCGCCGAGGGCACGGGCTAGCCCGCGCTCCACATCTCTCTCGGTGGCGACGGCTGGAGCCCCCCGGCCAGCGCGCCACATTTCTCGGGGGAGGCACCCGTGGACTACCCGGTGCTGCAGTTTTGCGTCAAGGACATTGTCGACTCGTCTCACGACCTGCTTCCGATCCCACTGGCTGTTGGACTGGATTCAGTATTGTATGGCTCGGGCCCGCTCGGGCTGTCACCTGCAGCCCAGCGCCGAAGTGCAAAGCGTGATCGACAGAATCGCTGGTTGCGAGATGGTCTGCGTAGTTTGAGCGCGCTGGGAGGTCAGGGGCGACGAGTTGCTACAGATGCGGCGCTCACAGAGGCCCAACGCGTCGCTGTGCGCCGCCTTGCTGGCCTGTATGGTTCGGTGAGCTTCCCAGATTCGCACCGTGATACCTATGCTTCGTGGAAGGCGTTGCAGGGGCTTCGGCCGGGCTACGCTGAGTCCGAGTCGGAAGGTGGCAGGGCGGTCGACCAGCCGGGGATGATCTCGTTACCCTGTGGAGGTGCTGGCCGGGTCGACACGGGCTCGATCGCGCCGGGGCCGCTGCTGAAGATGCTGGGGGCTGGCCGCGGTGTACTGCGCGAACCTGCTGAAGTTCAATCCTTGTTCGAATCGCGCAATGGTAACTTGCGCTATCTCGACCCAAAGCTGGCGCGGAGGGGCTGCGACTTCGGCCGCTCTCTGTCGGGGCTGTCCGACGCGGGCGTGGTGGAGGTAGACCCTGGGAACGTCTTGGATGAGATTGGTTTATTATTCGTGCGGCGAAAAGACCACAAGCTTCGCTTGATCGCTAATGCTCGTGCTGCTAACCTTCACTTCGTCGAGCCTGCCTGCGCGGAGCTCGCTGGCCCGGGGGCCCTCGCCGCTATCGAGTGTGACGGGCCCGACATGATAGGGTTCTGCTCTGGGGGCGTCGAGGCGTGCTTTTACCGGTATGAGCTGCCTGAGCGGGCGAGGCGGTATTTCACCTTGCCCGCGATTAAGGCTCAGTGCTTGCTTGCTGCGCTGCGTGGTCGGTTGGGGCTGGCTCGCGACACTTCAGAGCTGAAGTCTCAAGTTCAGGTTCCGCGTCGCGCCGATGGGAGCTGGGCGGTCCGCCTGATGCAGCAGGGCCACCTACGCGTCATGGAGAGCGCCCCAGAGTGGCCGCTGGGTTCTCGACGAGCGGCCCGGCGTTGACCTTCGGCATGACGACGCGAAGGTGCTCTACATCGACAATTTCGCCGTCGCCTCCGTCGACCGGGTGCGCGCCGAGGGGGCCGCCAAGGTCATGCGCGAGGCGCTGGCCGAGCTCGGGGTCGCCAGCGCCATCGAGGCTTGCGACGGCAGCAAGGCCGAGCTGCTTGGCAAGCCTAAGCGTTTTTGGCGGCTCAGGGGTGCTCTCGACTACCTGCTCGAGGCCAAGTGCAGGGAGGTCACAGGGCACGAGGTTGAGCGCGTCCTGGGGCACATCATGGCCGCGTGCATGCTGAGGCGAGAGTCGCTTGCCGCGTTTTCCGCCTGCTACACCTTCGCGGAGACCTCTGGCCTGAAGCGCCAGCCGCTGTGGCCCAGCGCTCGACGCGAGCTCTTCTGGGCACGCTCACTGCTGCCTTGCGTCGTCGGCGAGATGGGCAAGGCCTGGTCCTCGACGGTCACCGCCTACGACGCCTCGCCTTGGGGCTTTGGCGTCGTCGAGACGGAGTGGGAGCCTGCTGCCGTCGCCAGTCGCGGTCGACTCTCTGAGCGCGCTCGCTTCCGCGGGCCACTTGCTGCTGCTGGCGCCCCCCGGGATCGCACCGTGGAGGCTGAGGTGGCGCAGGCTCCGGACGCCGCCCTGATCCTGACCGGCCGGGCGTCGGAGTTCCCCGAGGTCAGCGCGAGGGCCCTGGCCGAGGCTACCTGGCGCGTGGTGGGCTGCGGGCGCCGGGGGGGCGCGAGGCAATCCACTGCCTAGAGGCCGCCTCTGTCTGCTGGGCCGCGAGGCGCGTAGCTAAGCACGCCCGGCGGCGTGGCCAGCGCCACCTCGTGTTGGGAGACAACATGTCGGTCACCCTTGCACTGGCAAAAGGAAGAGCTTCGGATCCTCGTCTGTTGCTTGCCTGCCGAGTCGTCTTCGCGGTCGGCGTCGCGGCCGACGTCCGGCTGCGCTGTCGGTGGCTGCCCTCGGAGTGGGACCCCGGCGACCAGGCCTCTCGTCGGCATCAGCCGCCTGGGCTCACGCACGAGCGTGGGCGCTGGCGGCTCGGTTACCGATCCCGCCGTCCACCTGGAGTTCAGGCTCAGGCCCAGCCGAAGGGGGGGGCAGTCGATCCCGCTCGGCGCGCCGAGCGACCCGAGGCTCGGACAGCGCAGCGAGGGTGCCCACCTTGGGGCGCTGGGGCTCTGGTCGGCGGCCGCTGGCTTCGCAGCGCAGGCTCGGGCTGACCGAGCAGCGCGTCGACGTGGAGGTGCGGCGCCGGGTCGAGGAGAGCGGCAGCTAGTCTGCCCTCGCCTGCCCCGGCTGGCCGCCGAGAAGGTGAGGCTGAATGCCCGGGCGATTTACCTAGGCGTGCTGAAGGCCTGGCTCGCCTGGCTCCCCCTGGGCTGCCTCCCGGACTGGACGCGCGAGGACTGGGGCTGCACCCTGGTGGAGTTCGTGGAGTGGCTCTTCGACAAAGGCGGGGCTGCTGCGACTGCGAAGCGAGTCGGCCCCGCCCTGCTCTGGGGAGATCCTCGCCTCGCTCTGGGATCCTTGCGGACCACCTTCCCGGTCCTGCAGCAGGCGCTGAAGGGCCGGGTCCAGCGACGACCCGAGTTCTCGCGCCCTCTGCTGCCCCGGGTGGTGGTGGCCGCTGGGGCCCGAGAGCTGCTCGACCTCAACATGTGCATGGCAGCGCTCGGGGTCATGATAATGTTCGAAACCTACATGTGCCCCGCCAAGCTGCTGGCGCTCCTGACCGAGCACGTCGCGCTGCTCCCGGGCGAGGCGGGGGCCGCCCGCTGGCTGACCTTCGTCATCCGGGCGCAGGAAGCGTTGGTGCCGTCCAAGACGAACGCGTTCGACATCAGCGTGCCGCTGGACTTGGGGAGGCAGTGCTGGCTAGCCCGCTGTCTGGAGGTGGCGGTGCGCAGCCGCGGCCCGGGCAGTTCGCTCCTCGGCCTCGTGCGCGCGGACTTCGCCGCAGCCTTCAAGACGGTCTTGAAAGGAGTTGGTGCCTCGGTGCTGCGGGGCGCCCTCTACTCGCTCCGCCATGGCGGCGCCAGCCACGACCGGAGCATGGGCGCCAGGTCCGTGGCCGCCGCGCAGCAGCGCGGCGGGTGGCGCGCGTTCCGGGGCGTCGCGCGCTACGAGAAGCGCGGCCGCCTGGGCCTCGAGCCGCAGAAGTTGGGGCCAGCGCGCTTGGCGCTGCCCCGGCAGAGGTCGGCTGGTACCGAGCTCGCCTTCGAGAGGTACTTCGGGCTGCGCTGAAGGCGACGCGCGGCCGGCAGTCCAGGGCGATTGTCGAAGTCTTCTCGGGCTCTGGCGAGCTCAGCCGGCGCCTGCGCGCGAGAGGGGAAGCCGCGAAAGAATGGGGCGCAACAAATGGTGAACACTTCGATCTACTCACCCCTGTGGCGTGGCGCGTTCTGCGAGGCTGGATCGTTTCAGGAGTGGTGAAGGCAGTGCGGCTTGGCGCGCCGTGCGAAGGATATTCCCGCGCGCGCAGAGCGCCGCCGCATAGCCGAATGCCGAAGGCAATTCGATCTCCGACGCGCCCCCTCGGGCTCCCCGGTGTGCGCGGCAGTGACCTTGAGCTCTTGACTGTCTCTAATCGTCTTGGCGCTATTGCGGGTGAGCTGCAACGCCTTTGCACCCAGCGCAATATTCCCGGAGGGGAAGAAAATCCTTTGCAGAGCTTTCTGTGGCTTCGGCCTGATCGGGTTTCGCTCTGGAGGTCTGGCCTGCTCGAGGAGAGAATTGTAGATTATTGTGCCTGTGGCCGGCCTTTTAGGGGCCGCGCTCGTTTGCGATTTTGGTGTTGCCGACCCGACCCTGGTTTCAACGATCTGCTCTGTCGAGGGCCTCGGGGTCTCTGTATTTTCACAGGTAAGCCTCGCGTCGAAATAACGGGCAAAGCTGGTGGGCAATTCCGCACTAATCTGAAGAACGCCTATCCGGCTCTCCTTTGCTCCTTCCTTGCCTCCTCTCTTCACCAAAGTAGCTTCCTTAAGGAAGTAACAAGAGCCTGGGAACTTTATAAATAAGCGATTTTCAGTGCAATGCTTGGTGGCGGCATGTCTGGTTTGAAGTTTGGAGTTTTCGAATGATTCGCCGAGGCCTTCAGTGAATTGCAGTGCCTCGGCAGATGTCCTGTGAAACCCCAAGCAAGTCACTGACCAGACAAAGCGATCATGGAAGTGATGCACGGGAATGATGAGCGTTCCGCCTGTCGCCGTTTTATATCAAGCAATTTTCCACCTGCCCAAGGCCAGCCCAGAGCCTCGGAGGAAATGTGTAGTTCGGTTGAAAGCGCTGAGTTTTCGAATGGTTCGCCGAGGTCTTCAGTAAATAGCAGTGCTTCGGCAGATGTCCTGTGAAACCCCAAGCAAGCCACTGACTAGAATAGGCGATCCATGTTTATGTATGTCTACATGCCAGTGCACATGTGTAAATCTTTGCATGCGTATATGTATATGTATGTGTACGCGCATGCGTATGAGTACTTGTATGTGTACATATCTACGGACGTGGGTCTGTATATGTATATGCATGTACATATATGCACATATCGATGTTCATGTGTACCTTTTATACGTATAATTGTATGTATATGTGTAGTATACGTTAACGTATGTTTGTATGTACATGTATTAGCATGTGTATGTACATGTATGTGCATAGACATAATATTCAGATTGGCATGCACTTGTATATGTCAACGCATACGTATACGTGTATGTGTGTTTATGTGTAGTTGTATGTGTATGTGCATCTGTATGTGCATATGTATGTGTGTATGTACGTTCAAGCGTTTATGCATATGTATATGTACATGATGATACATATGTATATATCGGAGGTGAGGGGGTGATATCGAAGTGGAACGGAGAGCCCCCCTACCGGGAAATCGGTTTCGGTTTCGTGTTCGTGCGTGCCGTGCGTGCGGGCGAGGCGAAGGTGCGTGGGCGGGCGAGAAAAAAGTATCCTCCGGCTGAGGCGCGGCCGGATCAAATGACTCCCTTCCGGCAACGGGTGGCCCGCGGTGTCCCGCCGGTGTCCCGCTTCCGGCTGAGGTGCGGCCAGACCAAATGACTCCCTTCCGGCGTCCGGTCGCCCGCGGTGTCCCGCCGGTGTCCCGCAGGTGTCCCGTCGGTGTCCTGATGATGGTGATGATGATGATGATGATGATGATGATGATGTCGATGATGTTGATCATGATGATGATGATTATGATGATGGTGATGGTGGTGATGATGATGGTGTCCCGATGATGATGTTGTTGATGATGTTGTTGATGTTGAGGATGATGGTGTCCCGATGATGATGATGATGATGATGATGATGATGATGATGATGCTGATGATCCTGATGATGTTGATGATAATGTTGCTGATGATGATGATGATGGTGTCCCGGTGATGATGATGATGATGTTGATGATGATGGTGTTGATGATGAGGGTGTCCCGATGATGATGATGATGATGATGATGATGATGATGATGATGATGATGATGATGATGGTGATGATGATGATGATGATGCTGATGATGATGATGATGATGATGATGATGATGATGTCGAGGATGATGATGATGACGATGATGGTGTCCCGATGATGATGTTGATGATGAGGATGATGATGAGGTGATGATGATGATGCTGATGGTGGTGCCCCGATGGTGATGATCATTATGATGATGTTGATGACGTTGATTACGATGATGTTCATGATGATGATGATGATGATGACGTTGATTGTGATATCGATAGTGAGATCGATAGTGAGGCCGAATGTGAGATCGATTGTGAGATCGATAGTGAGATCGATTGTGAGATCGATTGTGAGATCGATTGTGAGATCGATTGTGAGATCGATCGAATGAAACAGATCGAGTGAGATCGATTGTGAGATCGATCGAGTGAGATCGATCGAGCGAGACCGATAGTGAGATCGATAGTGAGATCGATAGTGAGACCGATCGAGTAAGACGTTGGTTCCCCCCCCAACCTCCTTATCACCCGAAGGGTGGTCGTATAGGTGTATAGATGTATGTATGTACGTATATCGTTGTATGTCTATGTCTATGTGTATGTGTACAGGCTTGTTTATACTTCCAAGTATATGTATATGTATATGTATAGGTATATGTATATGTATATGTATATGTATATATATATATATATGTATGTGCATGTGCATGTGCATGTGTATGTGTGCTTTGTGTATGGATATGCATATGCATATGTGCTCATTCATGTATAAGTGCACACATATATATATATATATATATATATATATATATATATATATATATATATACACATATATACACTGGAACCACCGCAAGGCATGGCATGGTTGGACCAAGACGCCCCAGGCCCCAGGCCGTCCAAAGACGCGTCCGAGAAGCCACAACAGGTTCCATGATTACACAAGATCTTTTGCAGGCGGCCAACGAGGCCCTCAAACAGTTTTAAGAGGGTTCCCCAAAGGGCCCTGGGAGGCTGACATATGTCAACTCTTTTAGAAAAGCGTGTTTTTTTCAGCATCTACAAGTGGCGGGCTGCCCCAGCGTGCACCCCGACTCCAGACGCCGCCAAGACCGCCCCCAAACAGCCCAAAAAGCCCCAAGAGAGCCCGAAGACGGCCCAAGATGACTCCATGATGGCTGAAGACGACCCAGGAATGCCCCTGCAGGCCCGTCGGTTATAGGCCTCGAGGATGTTCGTTGGGATGTCGTTGGGGGCCTCTCTCGGGGGCATTGTGGAGGCAGTTTGAGGCCTCTTGGGGGCCGTCTTGAGGATTCTTGGGGTGGGAGCCTCGGGGGCCTCTTGGGACGTTCTGAGGCCTGTTGGAGGCCTCCTGAAGCCTCCTGGGGGCCCCGTAGGGCGGAAAATTCGTTTTTTCGGTCCGAGTTCCCCTTTTTGGGCTTTTCTTTGGGCCCTCTTGAGTCTTTGTGGGCGCCTCTAGGGCCGATGGAGTGAGGCGCTGGTTCCTCCCTCCCGAACAGCCTTATCACCTAGAGGACGGTTGTATAGGTGCAATAGACATTTGATGCGCCCACTCAGGGATCCGACCCCCACCTCGATGGCATCTTGGGCACGCCCTGGTACCGCCCTCCTGGGCCTCCCAGGCGGCCCCAGGCCCGGAGAATCTCGGGACGTTTTCCCGGGCCTCCCAGGCGACCCCATGAAGCTTCGGCACGGCCCAAAACGCGTCCAAGACAGTTCAAAAAAAGGCTTCTGGCACCGCCCACGACAGCGCCCCCACGGCCCAAGAGGCTTCCACGAACACCCAAGAGAGCGCAAAGAAGCTTTCAACAGGCCCCCAGGACCGTCCGAAACATGTCCGAGGAAGTCCGCGAGAGGCCCAAATCCTTTAAAATTTCATGGAGATCTATGTTCTTGGCGTTCTCGCACTTTCGCCTTGGATGCACTGCCGAGACTTGCGCTTGAACCCCGCGGGCAGGGCGGTAACCCAGTGCAAAGTTCAAGGGTTGCCGCGTGGGGCTTCTTGAGGGGGTCGAGGCAGGTTTGGCGTGATCTCGCAGATCTAAGGCGCTGCTCCTGTCGATCTTCCCTTGCGGCGGGGTCCCGGCTTCAGTTGGGCACGGAGCAAATCGCGCTTGTGACATCGTTTTTGTTTGTTGGGCGCGGCGAAGTATGCGGCAAAACTAGAGGGGCCCCGAAGGTGGCCGCGCCGTTTCTTTTTTTTTGGGGGGGGTATTGAGGCCGGCACCTGAGATCCTTTTTAAGAAGCCCTGCTTTTCTAAGACGCAGGTGGTATCTTTGAAGGCAGGTCTGAAGCGTTGTCTTCATCGCGATTAATCAGCGCATTGTGCGCAAGTTTCCCCGTGTCCTGTTTTGACGGACCCTCGCCACCACATGGAACGTGTAATCCTGATTTTTTTTTGTTGGGAAAGTTTTCCAGGGCGGAAATGTCTGGCGCGGAATTCGAGCCACCAGTCGGCACTAATCGGACGCGATCATATGAGTACTAAACTAAGTACGAGTCATCCGTTGGAGGTTGTGGCTCAAGTTCAGTTTGGCTTCGCATCGCGTTGCTTCTCCTGAGAAGCGCCTGCTGGTGCGCGTCGGGGCCCCTTGGCTCCGCGCGCGCCTTGTCGACTCTCTTGCGCACGGGCGTGCGTGCCCGATCAGACTCGAGGCCTCTGTCGGCTTTACGTCGAAAGGACGCGCCGGGCACGCTGTGAATCCGCGCGGCAGCGCGCGCTCACAGGTCGGGGGGGATCGCGCGACAGGC